CAAAACAGTGTCTTTTATTTTGATGGAATGGCCGATGTCCGATATTGAACTTTAACGCTAATATCGGCCGATACCGATACCATGCCGATAATATTGTGCATCCCTACAGCAAAGTATTGAGAAACTCTAAAATATTGTTCCTCTCCCAAACAAGTTGACGCATAATGGTGGCTAAATTTAAATTTGACGAAAAAGAAATCCTGTAAAATTCTTAATAATCTCCAGATATAATGTCTGAAAGCAGGAATGAGTTGGCTGCCATTATTTACAAAAGAAAAATATTCATACATAAACACGGCTGGACAATAATTCGATATCGATCTATATCATGATACTTTTATTCGATAATGGTGATTTGAGTTTTAAGCACATTTTCGATATTTTTTATTAACCTTTACATTACCAGATCTCTTTTGCAAGAGAGGCCTGGGTCTGAAGGGCCTAACATGCATGTTTTGGACTGCGGGAGGAAACCGGAGTACTCCGAGAAAACCCACACAAGCACGAGAAGAACATGCAAACTCCACACAGAAAGATAGATTTCAGTTTGTAAAACTTTTACTGTCAATTTACCACAACAGCGATAATGGAGGTCCAACCGGGGATTGAACCCAAGTCCTTCTTGCTGTGAGGCAACAGTGCTAACCACTGATCCATTGTACTGCCAACGATATACATTACGCTATGATTACAGCGTTTCATTGATGCATTTCTTTTCTGTTCGGGTTGAAGCGGCCGATTCAGTTTCAACCCGAACAGAAAAAACCGCGACACAACTAAGTGCGTGGTGACGTACAGCTCGAAGGAGTCAGCGGTAGCAGGCTAGGCTAATCTCCAACTCACTAAGTTTTCTCTTCAAAGTGAGTGCGCATGACCGTCAGAATGTGACTGAACAAGCTTTCACAAGCAAAGAGAAAGCAGATGACATCATTGATAAGAGACTAATTCGGCGGTGTGGAAGTGGTTCGGCTTTCTAAGATCCGATAAACTGCAGGTTTCAGCTGCAAAACGTGACGGAGAGCCGTTCCAGCTAGCGGTGCGAACACATCTCACTTGTTCCACTCAATAAAACATGCTGAGTCACAAGACGAAGCACAATAAAGTTTGAGCCAACGTGTCCCTGAAACATCCCCCCCAGCTGTATCCAAACATGCAGCAGACGTGTTGTTGCTTAAAGTTAAAACTATTAATATTGACAAAGTTGAGAGTTTTAAGTTTATTTGGCAGTGATGTCAAATGTCTTTGAAGGATAAATACAAATAAAAGGTGAAAATTAATTTGTACAGTTTTTCTGAGGCTTTTAAATAGTTTATATCGATGTTGGAATTATGTTATTATAGACCGAAATTAAGAAATGTATTGTGATAAAAGTTTTGGATATATCGTCCAGCCCTATAAATATACATATAAAACTGTTTTTTTCCCCCAAGAAATACACAGAAATATTTGTGTGGAAGAAGGCTGCGTTAGATAGAGCTCATCATGTGACTTGGGTTTTGTCCGACTAACTGTGGGGCATTTTAAATTCCTGAAAAGATGAATAATTTGAATCTCAAATCTCAACTTTCCCACACAGACCCAAACTTTTGTTTTCTTAAGCGACCAGAAAAACTTCCATGGCTGCTGAATGAAAAGAGAAGAAGTCATGATGGGTAGAGAAGGAAAAGTGCAGCGACACGCTTTAATCCGAGCTGGCAGCCTGCGAGCGGACAGAAGCAGATCATAGAAACCAGCCGTTCAGATCTGACGGCCATTCAAATCGACTGGTCACACTGGGAGGCTTCTGGACTCGAAGTGCTGATGAACTAACTTTACTTATCCACATATTTCAACACTGAAATTAACATGAAGATAAAACTGTGAGGGTCCCGGCAGGGTTAAAAAGACTAAAAAAATTTTTTTTTTACTAAATCTAACAAAGCAAACAAAGAAGAAAGGAGCAATAAATGGAGGTTCTCCAGGTTCTTACAGAGCTGTCACAACCATCACTGTGGAAGGAATCTGAATTTCAGTTTCTGGACCATCAGGATTAAAAAAACAATCAAATAATTAAAGGGTATGAGGCCATCATACAACTTATTGTGTACTGGGTACACAATTGGCACTTACAAAATACATACCTGGTATTTACAGAATACATACCAGGTATTTACAGGTTATGTACTGTTGAAGTACTAGGTACTTAGAGGATAGGTACAGCGTATGCACCAGGTAAGTAATGGGTACGCACTTGTAATCTACAGGGTACGTCAGGCCCTTTCAAGATACACACCTGGCGATTACAGGATGTGTATCTGGTACTTACAGGGCATGCAACTGGCAATTAAAGAGTACAATCAATCAACCTTTATTTATACAGGTAAATCCCATTGAGCCTCGAGGACTCATTTACAAGAGAGACCTGATTTCAACAAAGAATGATGACAACAATGGACAACAGCAACAACAATAAACGGTTATAAAAAAAAGCATACAGATTTTTTTTTACAAATAAGATGGCCAAAAAAGTAACAAAAACAGCTAGATTCTAAGGTGAATGTAGAAAACTAAAAACAGGAACATGTCTGCATTGGTCCCTGCCAGGAGTCAAACAGATTCTTAAAGCCACTTAGAGAGGTCAAAGGTCGAGAGCTTCAGATCTTTTTATAAGATATTCCAGGAAAGGACATACCTTGTACTCACAGAGTATGCACAAGTAAGGGTAACACCTTCTTTAGATAGAGAACATTACTAAATGGCTTTTTTATGTATGTGAATGTTCCTGTAAAATGACCCGAGACAAAATTTGTTGTGATGTGGAGTTATATAAATAAACTGAATTGAAATGAACTGAACCTAGTATTTACGGAGTACCTACCTCATGCTCCTAGTGTGTAAAGGTCATGCTTACAACATACGTACTTGGTTCCATACCTGGTACATAACATGTACCTATGGTGATGTGTGAAATACACGCAAATAATTACCAGTAGTAATGATATTTTCTAGCTGACTTTCATTCCTCTTCTAAGTGCATACCTCCATCTCTCCAAGTTCTCTTCCACCTGTTTCCTGTTCTCACCACAGATCACAATGTCATCTGCAAACATCATAGTCCATAGAGATTCCTGCCTGACCTCATCTGTTAGTCAGTTCATCAACAGAGCAAACAAGAAGGGGCTCAGAGCAGATCCTTGATGTACTCCCACCTCCACCTTGAAGCTATCCGTCACTCCTAGAGCACATCTCACCACTGTCCTGCTGTCCTCATACATATCCTGCTGTCCTCATACATGTCCTGCTGTCCTCATACATGTCCTGCTGTCTTCATACATGTCCTGCTGTCCTCATACATGTCCTGCTGTCCTCTTACATGTCCTGGTGTCCTCATACATGTCCTGCTGTCCTCATACATGTCCTGCTGTCCTCATACATGTCCTACTGTCCTCATACATGTCCTGCTGTCCTCATACATGTCCTGCTGTCCTCATACATGTCCTACTGTCCTCACAAGTCCTACTGTCCTCATACATGTCCTGCTGTCCTCATACATGTCCTGTACCAGTCTAACATGTCCTACTGTCCTCATACATGTCCTGTACCAGTCTAACATGTCCTGGTGTCCTC